AAAAGTGTCTTATAGGAAACGAACGCAAATTTGTTACAGAATTTCAGAAACACGACACAGAGCATTCAAATTTTGTAATATTCTACAAGGAAATACACAATAAACTTCGAGTTATTGAAGATGTATTAGACAATACAAATATATGTATTCAGCATAACATTATGCAGAATGATGAAAAAGCTTTTCATTTTTAGTCATTCATTTATGTCGCTTGTTTAACATGAAATAATTAGGTCTAGTTGAGAACATATGACGAATTCATAAGAGTTAGTATATGACTTGTACTCTCTTTGATTCCATATGACTGCAATCCAAATTTAATTCTATTCTTAAGTTAAAATTTAAGAAATTTAAATATAAAGTAAAATAACAAGCAAGAGCCTCTCTAACTTCAGTGATCGTTGATTTCTGCCATGTAAAAGTCTATTTCTTCTTAGATTCGTTCTGAATCGGGCCAGGCCGTCAAAAAGTGACTAGATTTCGAGGCTCGAAAGGAACCAGAAAGATTAAAAATCTTGCATATTTTACATGAGAAAGTAACTTAGCTGATCAATTGTCAACTTATGTATCGAAATGGATGATTTCGAAGTTACAAGCATATTTTGTTTTTTGCAAGAAATGTGAGATGTAAGATGCTTCGTCATCATAAGCAAAATGGCCATCACTTCAATCAACTATTTACAAAGAAGAGTCGAAAGTTTTGGGACACCCTTGATAATTTTCAAGGAATATTCGTAAGAGGAATTCAGATATAGTTTTCTAATTAGGATTATGGAAACTTAAATTCTATATTCTTGAATGTTATACTTTCAAGAAAGTAAAAAAATCATCGAAGAATTGTCATAAACATTCCCATGGTATGTGTATCGGTTCTCTGTGATTTACTTTTTATTTTACAACATATAGATTAGCATCGTTCTACTTTTGTCTCTAGTTCATATTCCTTCGCCTATCACCAGTCTCTACTTAATTTTAATGTATCATTTTTCAAATCGAATTTCAATGAATTCTAGTACTTTCAAAATGGATCATTTTTCGAGATCTTACTTACAAGTGTGAAACTGTAGTGAAAATATTTTTTTTCCTGATCTCTGAAAGCAACTAATCTTTTTCATGAATTCAATTAAACTGTTGAATTTACTACGAAATATATCGCCAGTTGCTTGGTTTATGACAGGCTTTGATTATGCAATAGATCACTAAAATGAATGAAGAATACATTTTATTCTCAAATCAAATTCAGTGAATCATCAATAATTCTAGTTGAATAGTCACTAATTCATAAATTTCTTATATAATTGAAACAAAATGTGTTACATATCAAAAATGTGATTAATACTGATTGTAAAAATATTCATAGAAATTACATGTGTAAATAAGATACTTTCAACAAAATTTCATCGATCAGTGAATATCTAATCTATACAAGTTAAGTTTCCTATTCATTGAAACATTTTTTAACAATAAAAAGTATATGTTCACAGATACCTTTCTTAAATTCTACTCTTTCACATAAGAATTGATTTACTAAAATAGACAGAAAATGAAATATTGTTGAAATTCGTAGCAATCCATTACTCCATATAAACAATGACATTTTTTAAATATCTTCTCAAATAGAGAATAGAAAAAAAATAGAGACATGTTGCACGAATCAAGAGACTTTTTCCCATTTTTGCCTTTTTATCTCTATATTTTGATTATTTTTGAAGATAAGAAGAAATTTTCTTTACAAACTATAAGGAACAAAAAATATTTTTCTTGACCTTTCTGTTTTCGATAAGAGAGTTTACACTAGTTGTTTGAAGAGTCCTAAATCGTTATGGATCCGCTTCTGTGTGAGATAAGTATATAGTTTTAATGAATTTTAACATTGACAGTAAATCTATACGGTCTTCAGATGTGTTTTACTTCGTAATGTATGAACGATGAACTCTTGCTTAGAAACTAATCAAAAACTTATGATTTTTTTGGATACGAAAATTTTCGATATATGAATTCAAACATTGATTCTTTCTAAGATTACATTGGCATTCTTATAAAAGCCTATAGGCTTGTCCAAACGTAACGCTGTTACGTTTTTGACACACTCTTCTTCAATTATCTCGGCAAGTTTAAGAGCTAGGAAGTTCGTTCGAACGTCATTCGACGCAGCTTATCAAGCTCTATTTATCCCATAAGAATGACCTTTTTTGGTTGAAGTCTCAGACATCTAGAAAGGTTTTATCATGCCGTAACGCTGTTACATAAAAAGACCCTTTTTTCCAGTGCCNTAAATCCAAAAATAAATTTAAGAAATTTAAATATAAAGTAAAATAACAAGCAAGAAGCTACCCTAACTTCAGTGACCGTTGAGTTCTGCCATGTAAAAGCCTATTCTTTCTTAGTATCGTTCTAAATCGGGCCGAGCCATCAAAAAGTGGTCTGATTTTGAAGCCTGAAAGGAATCAGAAAGATTAAAATCCTGGAATATTTGACATGAGAGACTATGCTTGACATTCAATATTTTAGTTGATCAATCGTTAACTTATGTTTCGAAATGCATGATTTAGACGTTACAAGCATATTTTATTTTTTGCAAGAAATGTGAAATATAAGATGTTTCGTTATTATAAGCAAAATGGTCGTCACTTCAATCAACTATTTACAAATATATTTGATACAGATAACGTCAATTTACAAAGAAGAGTCGAAAGTTTTGGGACGTCGTTGATAATTTTCAAGGAATGTTCATAAGAGGAATTCAGATGTAGTTTTCTAATTAGGATTATGGAAACTTAAATTCTATATTCTTGAATGTTATACTTTCAAGAAAGTAAAAAAAATCATCGAAGAATTGTCATAAGCATTCCTATTGTATGTGTATCGGTTCTCTGTGATTTATTTTTTATTTTACAACATATAGATTAGCATCATTCTACTTTTTTCTCTAGTTCATGTTCCTTCGTCTATTACCAACTTAATCGTAATATTTTAGTTTTCAAATTGAATTTCAATGAATTCTAGTACTTTCAAAATGAATCATTTTTTCGAGATCTTACTTACAAGTGTGAAACTGTAGTCAAAATATTTTTTTTCCTGATCTCTAAAAGCAACTAATCTTTTTCATGAATTCAATTAAACTGTTGAATTTACTACGAAATATATCACCAGTTCTTGGTTCATGACAAGCTTTGGTTATGCAATAGATCACTAAAAAGAATGATGAATGCATTTTATTCTCAAATCAAATTAAGTGAATCATCAATGATTTTAGTTGAATAGTCACTAATTCATAAATTTCTTATATAATTGAAACAAAAACAGTGTTGCATATTAAAAATGCGATTAATACTTATTGTAAAAATATTCATAGAAATTTCATGTATAAATAAGATATTTTCAACAAAATTTCATCGATCAGTGAATATCTAATCTATACAAGTTAAGTTTCCTATTCATTGAAACATTTTTAAGCAACAAAAAGTATAAATTGACAGATACGTTTCTTAAATTCTATTCTTTCACATAAACATTGATTTATTAAAATAGACAAAAAATGAAATATAGTTGAAATTCGTAGCAATCCATTATTCAATATAAGCACTGGCATTTTTTAAATATCTTTTCAAATAGAGACATGTTGGACGAATCAAGAGACTTTTTCATTTTTTCCTTTTTACCTCTATATTTTGATTATTTTAGAAGATAAGAAAAAATTTTCTTTATAAACAATATGGAGCAAAAAAAACATTTTTATTGAACTTTCTGTTTTCGATAAGAGAGTTTACGCTAGTTGTTCGAAGAGTCCTAAATCGTTATTGATTGGCTTCTGTATGGGATAAATATATAATTTTAATGAATTTCAGCTTTGACAATAAAATTAAAGGTTCTCACCAATTTTTACTTTGATTTCGATGATTCTTTCACTAATATTTAGCCGAAAAATTTCTCAACAATACTACTCGAGTTTCATCTATAGCGCCTTCAAATGTATTTTATTTCGTAATGAACGAACGATGAACTCTTGCTTAGAAACTAATCAAAAACTTATGATTTTTGTTGGATACGAGGATTTTCGATATCTGAATTCAAATAGTGATTCTTTCTAAGATTAACATTGGCATTCTTATAAAAGCCTATGCATGACGAGAGTAGGTTGAATAAAAGGGATTACTCGATTTTTTGTTAAATTGAATTCTAGGATCTTTCAATGGAACACACAATTTTGTGAAGAAAAATGGAATTGTCAAGTTTGCAATTTGAATTCAACTGAGTTTTCAAATTTCAAGTTTGACATCGTATATGGAATAATGAGAGCATA